TTTCCGATGATCAATGATGATGCTGATTCGGTGATAATGTGGAAATTTACAGGATTCCATCAAAAAAAAAAAAATATTTAGGATGAACTAAAAGTCATAGTCAGGTGTGTCCGAGCGGATACAGAATGTCTTGACAAGATCAACCCAGACATTTGTAGCCCGTATATTGTGGTGAAGTCTACAGCGCCAAGTGTTACGACTGCTAATAGCAGGCAGACCCGTGTGAACACGCGACACAGACTGTGGCGGAGTTCATAGTGCTATGTGGATAGCATATAATTATAGAAATGTGTGCTATCTTCTTTGAGAATTACCTTCCCACACAATATGATACGCTAACATTGTGTGATATCTGATGTGTATTGTGTGTGTAATGTGCGTTTGAATAATATGCTAACGTAGGTATTAATTATGTTACACATGTGTTTGAGACTCATGATACGCTAACGTAGTGCCTATGTCATGTAGTCGTTATAGCAGAGATAGCTAACGTCGTGCTTCCTCTCTGAGTATGTTTTAAGATCGTGAGCTATGCTAACGTCGTGCCTATGGTTCACTATTGATTGCGTTACTTCCTGTGTTGGTGACTCATGATATGCTAACGTCGTGCATGTCATGTAGTCGTTATAGCAGAGATAGCTAACGTAGTGCTTCCTCTCTGAGTATGTTTTATGATCGTGAACTATGCTAACGTCGTGCCTATGGTTCACTATTGATTGTGTTTTTTTTCTGTGTTCGTGACTCATGATACGCTAACGTCGTGCCTGTCATGTAGTTGTTATAGCAGAGATAGCTAACGTAGTGCTTCCTCTCTGAGTATATTTTATGATTGTGAGCTACGCTAACGTCGTGCCTCTAGTTCACTATTGATTACTTTACTGTGTTGGTGACTTATGGTATGCTAACGTCGTGCCTGTCATGTAGTTGTTATAGCAGAGATAGCTAACGTAGTGCTTCCTCTCTGAGTATGTTTGTGAGCTACGCTAACGTCGTGCCTGTCATGTAGTTGTTATAGTAGAGATAGCTAACGTAGTGCTTCCTCTCTGATTATATTTTGAATTATTATGGATCAATGTGTACATGTAGTTGTTTGTGTTGGTAACCAACGACATCCCGATACAATTTTTATAATTTCAGGTGCAGAAGGTATTGAACTCACACGTCACGTTTTTGGTAATTGATAAGATTAACGATTTAATATGGGTCGATGTGTCTTCGGAAAAAAACCGGTGTCCCGACCCAATCCTTATGTTCTCAAGTGATGATTATGTTGTTTCCATGGATCATGTGATACGGTAATATGATGCCTATCATGTGGTCCACATTAACCGAGATAGCTAATGTTGTGCCTCCTCTCTGGCTATTTATTTGTGACCTGCGCTAACGATTTAATATGGATCGATGTGACCGCCGGTAACCACCGTCGTCCCGATCCAATTCTTATGTTCTCAGATGCAAACAGTATAGAGTTCACAGCTGAACAAGCTGCCAGAAGCCGCGGTGATGTCCCTGCTACAGAGCGTGTGCTGTAAATATGCGACAGTGCGACACAGGAGCACGAGGACGTGCTCCAGTCAGGAGAGGCCGTGTTAGAAGCATAGACAAAAAGGAACGAAATGTCATCGCGTAGCGGGAAAATATAATCTGTGGTTCGAACAATGAAAAAGTCAAGATGGCGGGAACTCGGAAATTATTGAGACGGTGTAGTTATTTGGTGTTGAGGGAATTTTATTCTATTTGAAAGTCAATTTGCCTATTCATGTGTTATTGTTGTTGTTTTTCTTTCCAATTAATAATTATGGTTTAGCTAGTTCTGAATTTGTAATTTGATTTCGATGTTAACAATATAAGGTGAATTGTAATGGTGGTACTCTTCATTTCTCCTGCCTCCTGAGTTTCTAAAATCCAATGTGGTTTAAAAACTAATAAGATCCTTATATCAAAGAGTAAGGTGAACTCTATGACAGTTTTTAAGTTTTCTAATAATAGCATTTATTTTCACACGACATTTTCGTGTTTTATGCGAATTTTATGTTAGCAGATATACCTACAAGATATAACTTGAATAAAGTAATTAAAATAATGGCCGTGAAGACATCCTGTTTACTAACTGTCATCAAGCAGTCAATTACCTAGGTTTTTATTACGTACAAACTTTCTTCATACAGGGCCTAAAAGTTATAAATTTAATAAGAACCGAGGGCCAGAATCCTACTAAAACTTAAAAATGCTTGTGTCCGTTTTGTTTTAAGAGTTATTTACACCGTCACTATAATATTTGAAAAGGGCTGTGACGTAACTGGCATCAGCAGTATTCTAATCGCAACAGTTAGAAAGTGGTTCACGGCCTCTTTCGTCGGCCCTTCGCAACTGGCGACATTAATCATAGACAATAATAAGGAACATGATGCGTATTGTGACGGCAGACGAAAATGGCGCGTACATTATTACGGTAAAATGCAAATAAAATAAAATTAATAATATTCTTATTCATATTATTTTCCCAAAGTTTTATTTAAATAGTAATGATTGTACTAGCTTATAATTAAATTAGTATTAGTTACAGATGTTCTTCATATAAATAAATACAAATCTATACAAACAAATACCTACTGATAAAAAGACAAAGCTAAAATAACGAGCTCTCAGATATAGTCTTTGATAACGAGTAGGACTTCAATATAAATTATTTTAGTTGGCTCGTTCTAAAACACTAAGCATCACATATCATAATGAGTCACTATAATTTTTAATACTAACAGGAGAAGTCGTAAATAATTTAATAATTCAATATCAGAATGGGTACCTACTTGATAATACCAACTTATGTGTTCATCTACTTGCGCGATTTTATTTGACATTTTCGTATACATAATAGGTGCTTATTATAATTTTAGTGTGCACGTGCAGTCGTGCGAAGAATTCAATATTGAGGCCGATGATTTAATATTTGAGCAACTTCAATAAGATGCGATGTTTGTTCGAAAAATATGTTTCTTTCGTAAAAATATAGGTAAGTAGGTGGGTAAATAATAGAATAATAATTAATAGTCCTAATTATTACCTCAATGTTTGTAAACGATAACACACACGCCCACGATAAAGGTGAGAAAAAAATACTTTTTTAAAGATAAATAAAAAAAAAATACACCAATATAGAATTAAAAAAAATATATCAGGATAGCATGGCCGACGCAGCAGTTAGTCGTTGGTGCGCTAACCGCGCTACGTGTCGTTGTTTCGTTTCCCGCGCAGAATTTACTTACAGAAGTTACAGATAACTGTAACAGTAAACTATCAATTTGTAAATTTAAATAATATTTTATGATAAGGCAAACATAATTCTTTTATAATATTAGCATACCTAGTAAACAAATAAGGATTTTAAAAACCGTCCTCCATCTTGCAACCTCTATTTAATTTTTTATAAATGGAATACCTAAACTCCAGATTCAAATTGTTCATACTGTCTATAGCTCATCCATGCATTATTTATACATCTAGCAACACAGCATTGACAATAATGGAACCATGCCAGCTGCACGAGGCTAGGCTGAGCTCTAGACATTAAAATATACATTACACTATATCCTGATTCACTCAGGATGCTCTAACAAGGAAATGTGGAGATACCTTACTAATTTATGCTACAGAAATAGTTTTAGTCTGCCTTGGTTTTAAGCCTGTTTAGGTATAACATGGATGGTTTGTGTAGGTATATTATAGTTGCCATATTTTTGTAGCCTACAACAAAGTCTGGCTATAAGTTTTAGTATGTAAAATATATTGTTTCAAGTAAGTACAGATATCAGTCAAAATGTATATGAATTTATATCATTTTTCAATTTATCATAAGAAAAAACTAGGTATATACCTTTTATGTTCAATGTGTATTTCTTATTAGCCCATACATAAAACTAAATAATTGCTTCATCAATATTTTCCTCTATACATATAGATACTGAGGGACTTGCTAAAGTGGTACACAATTCTTTTTTATTATTCTGTCAGTTCAACATAAGTCTAATAGATGGCGTTACAAGGCTCATAGTAGACTTTTGTGGGAGATTAAGAGGTTTAAGTTATATTACTATTGTCTTATTTTTTTGCGTTTTAGTATATTATTGTAAAACATAGATGTTGGAAAAGGATTATATTTATGTTAGATAAAATTAACGAAATTTGTATTCAACAGAAAATGGTTTTTAAAATATTCAAACAAGAACGAAAGATAAGTAACAAAATTCTACCACCTACATAAAATCTTCACTCATTTCAATTTATTAAGTAGGTAACTACTTAAAATAAACATAGTATTTAAACAACAGGTTGGTTACCAACTTAGACCAAACAAAAATAAATGCGTAAAACTAAAGTATCCATCATTAAGCATGCATGTTACGTATAATTATAACTTACCACATAAAATTTGTGGTTGGTTACACTGGTACACACTAATGTCTTTTCTTGGCACCGATTTATAATAAATTGGTTTAGAATGTTATCCGATAAACTTTATCAAATTGATGAAAACAAATGTGTTGGTAAACAAACTCGTGTTTTGACTTTTTGACATGTCAAAATATCAACTGACTCTGACAACGACAGCACATCAACGTCAAAAATTTAGAGCGTTCGCAAATGTTGTTATGCAGTAACGCAATCGTAGTTGTGAGTTACCTATACAAGGAAATTTACATTTCATATTATTTAAAAGACAAGTGTTATGTAATATAAATATTTTTAAATAATCCAAAGTATCTTTAAGAATAATTATAGTTTAGAAAAGAAAATAATTCGTTCCGTAATTTATCTTTAACTAACGTTGTAAACACTTAAGTTTTTCAATTTCTTAAACTTGATTACTTGGCTTTATAGTTCAATCAAAAATTTTTTTAAATCTTCTTCAAGGACTTGTCTTGAAAAAATTGAACTTGAACTAATGACCTTACTTTTTCCTTTTCAGATTTAGTCAACATGTTCTTCAAGTTTCCGAGATTATGATATTTCCTGACAGCAAAATGTTGGAGATACCAGACAACGTAAGTGTTCAGAATTCAAACATCTTTAAAGCAAAATTCGTTAATCTGATCTCTCTTCCCTTAGATTGTCCTAATTAGAGATATCCACTTACGGCTTCAATATATTCTATATGCCCTTGAATGGTTTTAATTATAGTATCTCATACACCAACAGCTTACATGTCTATGTTTTCAATTGGAAGAGTTCCAACGTTACCTTAGTACGTGATCGAGATTCATCGACTAGTTTTATCTTTAAAGAAAATGGCTGTGTTTAAAACAGTGTTATGGTCTTAGTTTTAGTGAGTTTTCGCGATACTGTCCTTCCTTATGTAGGTAGGTACTTATGTACTAGATTATTAGACAATATGCCCAGATTAACACGCATGATTGTCTTTAGAAACTACCTCTAAATCGTTTGTTAGCAATTGCCTTCCTATTTTCCTAATGAGTTTTGTAATTAGTGAGCAGTTAAATTCTGGTTTTAGGACCATAACCGATTGTACTTAACTAACTGAAAAATAACGAAATCTTCATGTGTTTTAATGAGAAGCATGTTTGTACCCTTTATTTGCATAAATTTGTAAGACAATGCTGGCTCTGTTTGAATGAGCGTAAATATTGACAACAGTATTTAGCGACCGTGTCATTTTTGCTTATGAGCTGTGGGTTTTCGGGGCTGACGATTCTTCTGTGTTGATTTGATTTTAGGCGGGAGAGAGTACCAGACTCTTACTGACTAAAAACCACCCCATTCCTACTCCTGCACCTCAAGACGGAGCCCCGGTAACCCGTTAGGTTCTCCGCGGCAGGCATAAATTGACTTAAGTTAGTTATTGTCACGGGTCAGGACAGTGTTTGTAGGTACTTAATATCAACTAAACGACATATTCACCAGAAAAATCGGGTCCTTACTTTATGCAACCGTACGAATTTGGGCCGGGCCACAAATGAATAAAAAAAACGTAGTTGTTAAAAATATCTAAATATTGGTATTTAGATATTTTTAACAACTACGTTTACGTACGGTAAGCGTGCTAAAAATGCAAACAGTGCTATTGTTATCTTTACATAGGTAGTAGTTCTATGAAATAACATAAGTACCTAATCAATTGATTACTTATGTTATTAGTATTACATAAGAGATGCAAATTTATGAAAACAACAAAGTTGAATCACTATTTTCTGGGGAAAAACACACGTTTCCTTTCCCGTCAAATATTGATTTAAATTATTTTTATTTTGTGGCCAAATGAATACATACTTATTAAGAATATGGGTTGATATTGGTGTTATTGTATTTAGTATCTTTATTTAGTTTCCTATGTGCCATTTTTTTATATGAACTTAGTGAAAATAACATGACATATACAAAAGGATTATCAAGCTTAAAAATCTAAAAGTATCGACAGATGTGCCGACCGCATTCAGATTACGGTGGCGTTACTACCTACTAAACAATTTATATCACCACACCATGTTCTTAAAACCACTGAAATAAATTACATAGTTACATCAACAACTCCACTGCGTTTTTCCAATCATTAACTAATATATCATAGTACCCATTCATCTCGTTTTATTAGACCAGTAATTATCGTAAAACTGTAAATATCTCTATGCATTCGTAACACAGAATCAGAGCTACTCGATATAATCGTTCACATACTTTTGTGAATACCCTTCAGTGTAAGATTAACTTCGTTAACCGATGCACGAAATCTTTGTTAAGTCTGCATTGAACTAAATGTCGATCAATACCTAAATATTATTGTAAAATTAAGTGTACAGTGATTACCTACATTGGATAAAATTAATTCGATTGTAAGTTTTCTTAATTCAATTTTGTTAAAAACATTTTTGTAGTGGTTTTCGGAAGTGTAATAACAGTGTTTCCTGATTGCCAATTTTTTGGGTAAGATTTATATTTGTTTTTTTTTTTTATTTGTTATTTATGTAGGCGTAAGAACATTATTTAGGCAGCCGTGAGAACAATAAAATATGTAGGTACCAATGACAAACAAAATGACTAAATGTGACTGAAAAATCAATTAATAATGGTTCTTAGTTTAAATCGGTTTGAATTAATATTTAGGTACATACAGTATAAGTTAAAAACATGATCGTACTAATTTATCATTATATTCATTACTCTAAATTAAAATAACATAAATAGACTTAAAATTGAGTAACGTTTCAGTATTCCGGCATTAGCATTGGTATCTTAATTAATATCCTTCCTCCTACTATTCTACTAATATTGTGTGTCAAAAAGGGGTAGATCATGGTCTGGAATGACACATAGGCTACTTTTTATCTCAGGCAACGTGGGCGAAGCCGCTGTAAGAAGCTGGCAATTAATACAATAGGACTTCTCATATCTATTGATAACACCGGAATGTACGAGAAATATAACAAAGAGTTTCCTTGTAAAAATGATAATGACTTAGGAACCATACTTATATGAAGATATGAAGATACTTCATTTTATACATAACTAAGTACCTCTTAAGTGCATTTTGGGGGGGGAGGGTGAATCATCCAATGGCTTCTCTCACCTGGGTGAGGCGAGAGGGAGTGTCAGACTGACTAAAAACCACCCCGTACCTACTCCTGCACTTTGAGCCGGAACCCCGGCAACGGCAACCCGTTAAGTCCTCCGCTGCTCCGTATCGGCATCAGCCCTATTGGGCCCCATCTGTGGTGGTCTGATGGCTCCTTGAGGTGCGCGGAATTTGTCGCGCCGTACGCTCGGGTCTGGTTCTGGTCGGGAGGCAAGTCACCCGTGAGTGTATATCCAGGAAGATAATTTGGTTAATCAACATCAAGTGCGTATACGATATCATCATGTGGCTACTAAACTTGATCTCATTTTGTACGTGTATCAAATCACATGGAGTTCTATTATTTGATTGTTTGATTTAATTATTTAAATGGGAATTAGAATGCTAACAATATTTAATCTCTCGCGTGATATTGTTTTACCGGCCTACACAACTAATTTAGGTATCTATACATGTAATAAGTGGCGGAGAACCTAACGAGTCGCGGAGAACCTAACAGGTTACCGGGGCTCCGGCTCGACGTGCAGGAGAAGGAACGGGGTGGTTTTTAGTCAGTAAGAGTCTCCCTCCCGCCTCACCCAGGCGGGAGCAGTCATTCGATGATTTTCCCCCCTTAAAAAAAATACATGTAATAAAATCGTAGGATACTCATGTACATACATAGGTACATTGAATATTTTTAATAATTGGGTAGGAAATAGGAAGGAATATCAAATTGAAAACTTTTACGAATAAGTTTAAACTTGGTGCTGCTCCGTCCCTATTAATCGTAGTTTGATGCATACCATACCCTTCCTCAATAAATGAACTATTCAACCCAAAAAGAAATATTCAATTCAAACCAGCGGTTCCGGAGATTAGCGCGGTCAAACAAACAAACATTATCTTCATATTAACAATATTATTAATATAACAATATTATTAGTACAAACAATATTCACACATATAAATAATAACTTATTTAACGTTTTAAGTCATTTGGCTCTTTATAATGTATACCTTTGCCTCAAGAACAGAGACGATGAGGCGATGACCGCGGCTGCCATAACTTATTCAGCCTATTCAGGTGTTGCTAATTATTTTGTAACATAGGCACATTCATTTAGTATTTATTCATGAATTTGTATGAAATATGGTGTGGAATATACCTGTTACCTTGCCTTGTAATTTGTATACTAATAATTGAGTCGGTTGCCTACATTTTGCGTTTTTAAAGTAATGGGTAAGGGAATCAAACAGTAGTTTTCACCATTTAAGGCTGGTAATAAGGTGATAAAATATTTTTTTTTTCTATTCATAGATGTGTAGGTGTCTTAAATTCCTTAGTAACAAATTACCTATAATCGACCTCGACGCAGGTTAAGGATGCCGCAGAGGATTTAATGGGTTGCCGGGGCTCCGGCTCGACGTGCAGGAGTAGGAACGGGGTGGTTTTCAGTCAGTAAGAATCCGACACTCCCTCCCGCCTCACCCAGGCGGGAGAAATCATTCGATAATTTTTCCCCTTAAAAAAGGGCAGGTTAAAGATAATTCCTTACCTACCTACCTAATTAAAATTACCATACCAGTGCCAAATGACTTTAACTCGTCGAGTACCGGTTTTATAGACACAATTAAAGAACAATGGGTCGCGGTCACCGGTGACCGCTTGGTGTTTGACAGTTTAATAAGCATTAATCTTACTCCACGTGGGTAAATAATATACTTAATTAATCAAATGAAATGAAATCATCTTAATATTGAATAACAATAATCATTCATCGTAACTCAACGGAAAATCCTAAGTCACAATCACGATTTTCATTTTGATTTCCTTGAATATTTTATCTTGTTTGTATAGTCATTTTATTGCATGTAAAGTTCCTTCAGTTAAAGGCAGCCATGTTGGTTTGACAAATATTTATGCAGATGATAATCTTTGTAACAGATTCTATGGCAAGACCTAAATACTTCATGGGTGAATAGGATGAGCCAACAGTTTCATATTTAGATAAAAATCAACCCATAAAGAACTACTAAGAGGTCAATGGTAATATTTCCATAGACATGACGCATTACAAAATAAACGAAGGTCGTTAATCATCATTATTCTTGTTATTATATTTGCGAAGGACAAGTGTATAAAGAAATACAAGGCAATAATAGAAAATATTCATCTCACTTAAATCAGTCCAGTCGTTCAGGAGATTGTGCAATAGTGCCACATACCTACACAGACATGTCAAACATTTAAATATACTACCATAATAATCTATATTTAAAAAAGAAAGTCGTGTTTGTTACACTACCATAGAGCAACACGGGCCACCGGCGGACCGGACCTCCGTGTTGCTCTATGTACACTACTGTCGTCGTAACTAGATGTCTGACATTTATGCTGAACTGGACCTTTTTTGGTGCAGCTGTCGGGCACATAACTATTATTGTTGGTATATTTAACTTTTAAATTTTTATATG